TGGTCCCAGACTGAGAGCCAGTTTGGTGTAGTGGCGAGGAGTGCGGCCTCTAATCTGGGAGGACCGGGTTTGATTCCCCAACTCCTCCACATGCAGCTGCTGGTGTGACCTCAGGTCAGTCACAAGTTCTCTCAGAGCTGTTGTCTCAAGGTCAGTCCTCGAAAGAGCTCTCTCAGTCCCACCTCCCTCACATTTTGTGGCTGGCTCCACCCCCCCGGGCAGCCATTTTGTGGCTGGCTCCCTCCCCACTGTCTCAGAATTCCAAAGGTGCCCACCGGCTCCAAAAACTTGGAGACCCCTGACCTGAGTGAATAGATAATGGGTAGGAAATGACTCGAATCTGCTTAGGAGATGGGTTTGGGGTGGAGAGATGATCGCTCGCCCCGTCGCTAGTGATGCGCTATGGCTTTGCTTCTGCTCCGTTCCGAAATCTCGGCTCATTTTCCCGGGACGCTCCTGCCTTCAGTCTGTCCGTGTGTGTGTGTGGGGGGTGACTCTGACAGATACGCTCGAGAAGTACGGGGCTCTGGTGTTGGCCTTGGAGCACCGCTTCTACGGAGCCAGCATCAACCCCGACGGGCTGCAGGATCAAAACCTCTTGTTCCTCTCCAGCCAGCAAGCGTAAGTTGGCTTCTGGGGCTAAAACCATTGGAGGGGGGGGGGTTTATTATTTAGAGTTGTCTGTTCTGAGGGCCACGCATCAACCCCGACGGGCTGCAGGATCAAACCCTCTTGTTCCTCTCCAGCCAGCAAGCGTAAGTTGGCTTCTGGGGCTAAAACCATTGGAGGGGGGGGGATTTATTATTTAGAGTTGGGCTATAGCTTAGGGTTGTCAGCCTCCAGGTGGGAGAAACGTAAAGAAACACCGTGTTAGAACAAAACATACTCTACTAATATGCACTTGTGTCTTCATCAGGGGTCATTTCGTAGAAAAAGAGGTGCAGGAGCTCATTAGCATAGCTTATTTGCATATGCCACACCCCCTGACATCACCGGAAGTGTGTCAGAAGGCAACACCCACCGCTCAGGCTCCACTGGACTGTTTGCGGCCCAGGGGCCGGATGAGGCCCCCCCCCGGAGGGCGTCTCTCAGGCCCGCAGTGGAACTGACTGTCTTCTGCTTCTTCTTCCAGTTCTGCTGTTGCTGCGTCATCGTAGGTTTGCAGCTTACAGATACACACCTGCAGTGCTCCCTCTAAGCTGTGGAGTCCTATGAGCAAAAATTCTACTCTGTGAGCTACCGGCATTAAGGTTGTGAGTGAGTGATTTGGCTACTGCATCAGTTAGTTTGCTCTGGAGCCCTCCTTCCCGAGCTAAGACAAAAATGTGTGAGCCGGAGGCTAAAAAACTGTGAGCTAGCTCACACTAACTCAGCTTAGAGGGAACACTGCTGACACCTGGACAGCATACTCAAGATTGCAGCAGCACGGACATTTTGATGCAATAATTCAGAGCAAGAGGTGTCAGTTATCAGACACTGTTAAATAAACAAAATATGGCAAGAGTGCTAATGTTTTCAGTATGTTCTTATTTTAAGTTTAAAAAACCCTTTGTGTTTGTGTCCTTTATAAAATTTATATCTCCACCACCTGGCATTGCATTTTATGACACACACGGCTTGGCCCAACAAAGTCTCATCTATGTCAGATGGATCCGGCCCTCATAACAAATGAGTTCGACACCCCTGCTGTAGACTAGCTTGCTCCTAATTAGAGACTGATGAAGGTTGCAACAGCCGTAAATGACAAGAGATGCAGCAGGCTGTTATGTTCTGCTCAAAAAGTGATTCAGCAAGCATCAAAGCAAGCAACACGCCTCCCAGGCAAAAATTGCGTGTTTCGACAGATTCTTTCTCAGGCAGACATATTTTTCCTGGAACCGTAGCTCACAATGCTACAGTGCAAAAGTCAACTGACTTGTGCACTGTAGCATTGTGAGCTTCGGTTAAGAGCGTGGACTCTAACCTGGGAGAACTGGCTTTGATTCCCCACTCCTCCATATGCAGCTGCTGGTGTGACCTTGGGTCAGTTGCTGTTCTCTCAGAGCTGATCTCTCAAGGGCAGTTCTCGAAAGAGTTCTTGCAGCCCCACCTACCTCACAGGGTGCCTGTTGTGGGGAGGGGAAGGGAAAGGAGATTGTATGCCCCTCTGAAGACTCCTTTGGGCAGTGAAGAGAGGGGTATAAATCCAATCTCCTCTTCTTCTATAATGTTTTATCTTATGGACTAGAAGCTTGATTTCTTTTTTAAAAAAAATGCAAGGCAGAGATTTCTGGGAAGCTGAATGCACTGGAAGGCGAGGGACCTTTGGACACCCTAACTGAGTACACCGGGGCAATCCAAATGTGTTAAGGAAGAAGAAGAAGAAGAGGAGAGATTGGATTTATACCCCGCCCTTCACTTGGAGTCTCAGGGCGGCTTACAATCTCCTTTCCCTTCCCCTCCCCACAACAGACACCCTGTGAGGCGGGTGGGGCTGAGAGAGCTCTGACAGAAACTGCTCTTTTTCAAGGGCAGCTGTGCCAGAGCTTGTGACTGACCCAAGGTCACATCAGCAGGTGCAAGTGGAGGAGTGGGGAATCAAACCCGGTCCTCCCAGATTACAGTCCGCGCACTTAACCACTACACCAAACTCAACTGTATAGAAGAGCCAGTGTGGTGTGGTAGTGGTTAGATTGTCCGGCTCAGATCTGGGGAGACCTGAGTTCGAATCTTCACTCGTGCCATGGAAGCTCACTGGGTGTTCTGGGGCCCGTCACACTCTTTTCAGCACAACCTCCCTCATGGGCTTGTTGTGGCGATAAAATGAAGGAAAATGATGTAAACCGCTTTGGGTGCTCATTAGGGGAATTATTATTATTTAAAGAATGGCAGAGTTACACACAGGAAGCATGCAATAATATAATCATATAAAATATGTGGATATAAAATTCAGGAGAAGTGTGGGGCATCAATGAAATAAACGGGAATTGAGCGATCCCGAGAAGTGCCCTTCTGGTTTTCAAACTTTGGATCTGTCTCCCTTCCAGGTTGTCCGACTTGGCCTCCTTCCACTGGTATGTCACCCAGAAGTACGAGCTGACACCGAACAACACCTGGATTTGTTTTGGGGGTTCCTATCCCGGCTCACTCTCAGCCTGGTTCAGACTCAAGGTACGGCCCCGCGGGTCTCTCGGGTGGGTTGCGGGCAGTGAAAATGGGGAACATCCTGAAGCCGCTACTTCAGTGACTACAGAGCATGTCCGGAATTCCAGCCACTGCTGCATCCTATAGAGAAGGCCGATCAGTAATAATGCTTCGCGTTTTTACAGCGCTTTCCGGGTAATAATATTAATAATTATCGTATGGCAGTGTGCGTAGTATAGCCCGGAGAGCCTAAGATTGTCTGGCAGCCAGACGTTCAAGCTCTTTTAATGTTACACGCCACTAGGGAACGAGTTAGACTTGTGTTTTAAGGCAAGAGACGTTTCAGAGGTGGTTTGCCATGGCCTGCCTCTGCGTCACGGCCCTGGTATTCCTTGGAGGTCGCTCTTCCAAATACTAGTCAAGTCCAATCCTGCTTAGCTTCCGAGATCTGACGGGATCGGGCCAGCCTGGACTATCCAGCTCAGGGCTTCCAGTTGTTAGAGGCACGTCACATACATTCTCTTGTGAACCTTACGCCCCTGTAAGGTAGACCAGTAGGATTATTACCATATTATAGAGGTGGCGTTGAGATTCGAACTGGGGACTTTCTGATTCAGAGCTGGATCTCCTCCCCATTGCAGCACACCCGCTCTTGGAAGGAAGTCCGCTCTGTGCACAATGGGTAGGCTCACCAGGTCTGAGTTAGGAAATCCCTGCAGATTTCAGGGGTGGAACTTGTAGAGGGAGAAGTTTGGGAGGGGAGGGGAGTCAGCTGGGGTGTGATGCCATGGAGTTCGCCCTTCGAAGCTTGCCATTTTCTCCAGGGGAACTGATGTCTATAGTCTGGAGTTCTGTTGTAATCAGGGTCTTGGCCCGCCTCGAAGGGCTCCAAGTTGGATGCCGGTTCTTCCTGTTTTTGCTGGTGCTGGAAAGAGGAAGAACCCCCTTGGATACCCCCCCGAGCAGACTGAGACCCCGATGTGCCCCCCCCCATGCTGAAAAACTCGCTTACCCCTGGTTCACAGCTTAACCTCTTTCTCTCCCGCCCAGTTTCCTCATCTGGTGTTTGCTGCGGTCTCCTCTTCAGCCCCCGTTAGAGCCCAGCTGGACTTCAAGGGCTATAACCAGGTGAGGTCTTGCAAAGAACCTGCACTACCGGCCCGCAAGCCTGGTTGGGCTTTTCGAGCAACTTTATTTAAAGGTAAAGGCTTCCCTTGCTCGAAAGCCAGTCGAATCCGACTCTAGGGTTGCGGTGCTCATCTCAGTTTCCAAGCCGAAGAGCCAGCGCTGTCCGAAGACGTTTCCGTGGTTATGTGGCCGGCATGACTAAACACCAGGACGCACGGAACGCTGTTCCCTTCCCACCGAAGTGGTACCTATTTATCTACTTGCAATCTCTTGCTTTCGAACTGCTAGGTTGGCAGGAGCTGGAACTAGAGACGGGAGCTCAGTCCATCATGCGGCACACTCGGGTCTCGAACTGCTGAACTACTGACCTTCCACAGCCTGCAGTTCAGCGTCTTAACCACTTGAGCCACCGCTCAATAAATAAATAAATAAACAAATAAATAAATAAAGATTTTATTTAGCAGTCTTTATAGAGCCAGTTTGGTGTGGTTGGTTAGAAGCGCGGACTGTAATCTGGGAGAACCGGGTTTGATTTCCCCACTTTTCCGCACGCAGCTGCTGGTGCGGCCTTGGGTCAGTCACATGTTCTCTCAGGGCTGTTCTCTCAAGGGCAGTCCTCTAGAGAGCTCTCTCAGCCCCACCTACCTCACAGGGTGTCTGTTGTGGGGAGGGGAAGGGAAAGGGGATTGTAAGCCACTCTGAGACTCTGAGTTAGCCAGCTTGGTGTGGTTAAGAGCAGCAGGACTCTGATCTGGAGAACCAGGTTTGATTCCCCACTCCTCCACAGGCAGCCAGCCAGATGACCTTCGGTCAGTCGCAAGTTCTCTCCGAGCTGTTCCCTCACGAGCAGTTCTCTCACTCAGCCCCACCTGCCTCACAGGGTGTCTGCTCTGGGGAGGGGAAGGGAAAGGAGATTGCAAGCCGCTCTGAGACTCCTTCGGGTAGTCAAGGGGGGCAGGGTATAAATCCAGTCTCTTCTTCTTCTTCGTTCAGATGATGGGGTTTTCCACTAGAGGACCCAGAGATAAGCCCCTGGGCTTTCCTTAGTGTGTGGTTCCATTCCCCCTTCACGCTTTCCTTCTCCCCAGGAGGTCTGAGCAGCGGGCATTCCTTCTGATTCCACCTCACAGAGAAGCCATTTTGGGTTTGGCTCCACCTTCTTTGGAAGCCATATTTGCCTTGGCACTCACCACCTCCTCTCGAAATTCCAAATGTGCCTGCAGTCTCAAAAAGGTCCCCTGCCTGCCCCTGGACCGAGCAGAGAGGCCCTAACCATGTGGAAATTGGCCACTTCTGCCAAAACCGAGGGTGCCAAAGAGCTGCTCCCTCTAAGCTGTGGAGTCTCGTGAGTGAGAATTCTACTTTGTGAGCTGCTGGCATGAAAGTTGTGAGCGAGCCATTTGGCTGCTGCGTAAATCAGCTGGCTCTGGAGCCGTCCCTCCCGAGCTAAGACAAAAATGTGTGAGCCGGAGGCTGAAAAACTGCGAGCTAGCTCACACTGACTCAGCTTAGAAGAAGAAGAAGAGAAGAGATTGGATTTATACCCCGCCCTTCACAACCCAAAGGTGTCTCAGAGCGGCTTACAAACCCTTTTCCCTTCCCCTCCCCACAACAGACACCCTGTGAGGTGGGTGGGGCTGAGAGAGCTCTTGACAGAAATTCCTCTTTTTCAAGGACATCTCTTATCAGAGCTACGGCTTGCCCAAGGCCATCCAGCCAGGTGCAAGTGGAGGAGTGGGGAATCCAACCCGGTTCTCCCAGATTAGAGTCCGCGCACTTAACCACGACACCAAACTGGCTTAGAGAGAACACTGTGGTGACCACCAGTGATGTCACTTCCTGGATACATCCCTTTTCAGATCGGGGTTGTGTATGGCTGCTGAGACCAAGGAAACGAACATGTGACCCAATGGGTATTTCCAGGGGCATTGAGGTTTTTTTTGAAATAGAGGTGCCAGAGCTGTCAAGAGGGGAATGAAGGTTTCGGTCTGCATGCTGAAAACTCATAAATTTTTAAACATTTTTTAAATAATCTTGTCGAAGAGGTTCCAGAACTCTGTTCTGGCGTGTTCCCCCAGAAAAAAAAAGCCCTGGGCAATGTTCCCTCTAAGCTGTGGGTTCTTGTGAGCAAAAATTCTACTTTGTGAGCCGCTGGCATTACAGTTGTGAGCAAGCGATTTGGCTCCTGCATAAATTAGTTTGCTCTGGAGCCATCCTTCCTGAGCTAAGACAAAAATGTGTGAGCCGGGGAGAGCCAGTTTGGTGTAGTGGGAGAACCGGGTTTGATTCCCCACTCCTCCACTTGCACCTGCTGATGTGACCTTGGGTCAGTCACAAGCTCTGGCACAGCTGTCCTTGAAAAAGAGCAGTTTCTGTCAAGAGTTCTCTCAGCCCCACCCACCTCACAGGGTGTCTGTTGTGGGGAGGGGAAGGGAAAGGAGTTTATAAGCCACTCAGAGACTCCAAGTGAAGGGCGGGGTATAAGTCCAATCTCTTCTTCTTCTCTTCTAAAAAACTGTGAGCTAGCTCACACTAACTCAGCTTAGAGGGAACACTGACCCTGGGTATTTCAGATCACTGGTAAAGAGTTTGTGCTGATGGCAATTTGTTGAGGTTCCATGTTTCCAATCTCGATGGTAGAGCACCTCTTTTGCGGTTATAACCTAGGGCTCAGGTTGCCAACTTCGGGTTGGGAAATACCTGGAGATTTGGGGGTGGAGCCTGAGGAGGGGGCAGGATTTGGGAAGGGGAGGGGCTTCCGTGGGGGAGAATGCCATAGAATTCATCTCCCAAAGCGGCCGTTTCCTCCAGGTGAACTGAACTCTGCCGCTTGGAGTTCAGGTTAATAAGGGGAGATCTCCAGTCTCCACCTGGAGGTTGGCAACAAAAGTGAGATACACGGATGAAGTGAATACCAAAAAAAAGGGGAAGAATCCCCCGTATAACTAAACCTCCAAAATGCTCCAAGACACTAAATACGACACTAACAAATTAGTTACATAATAAGCAATAACAGACATCCAAAACCGTTTCCGTTCAAATCGTGACATTCACATGAATAAATTGTGCAATCAGGGAAAGATCCAGGGTCATGAGTCACAGAACACATTGTTTTGTAGGTTTGTTACTGCTGATTGTGTAACTAATTTGTTAGTATCGTATTTAGTGTCTTTTGAGTACTTTGGGAGGTTTATTTCTGCGTTGGACTTCTCCTTTTTATATGTACCCACCTGGAGGTTAGTAACCCGACCGGAGGCCCTTCTGTGTGTCTTTATTTCAAATACTAGAAATAAGGCCCGTTGTGGAAATAAATACAACGGGATCTAGAAAGAGGCTCTGGGAGAGTGCTCTGGCTTTGGGCAAACAGTGTCAGTCTGCTTTTAAAACATGAACCTGGGACCTGCACACCACCAGAATACAGCAGGTTCCATATGCAACTGACATTCCAACTGCCTTGCGGGGGGGGGGAGTTTGAGGTGTGGAATGGAGTGAAGTCCAATCAGCTTCCATAAGCAAAAGACCAGGTTGTCGCAGCAGTTGTGGTGTGGGCAGGACCCGGGCTTTGCCTTCTGACTGGTGGCGATGTATGCTGAGGAGCAGTGCCATCAGCCATACACTAAGGGAGTGCATTTTAGAATTAGAACTTTGGCACCCACTATTCAATTATATATAAGGAGAGAGGAGAGATTTGTACATCACCTCGGTCCATAACACTGTAAATGCCACTGAAATCAGTCCCTACGCCAGAATCCAACCGGATGGCCACAAATAAGTGGATTTAAAATACTGACATACAGGGCTCTTTTTGTAGAAAAAGCCCAGCAGGAACTCATTAGCATAATAGGCCACACCCAACAGCAGGAACTCATTAGCATATTAGGCCACACCCCTGACAGCACAGCTCATTACCACATTAGGCCGCAACCCCATGTTACCAGAAGTGTGGTCATCCAGCCACACCCACCTTTTGCTTCTTATTCTGTTTACCTTGTTTGTTGTCAAAACCCAGGGCCTTTTTTTGTAACAGGAACTCCTTTGCATGTTAGGCCACACACTCCTAATGTAGCCAATCCTAATGGGTTCCTGCTGTTGGGTGTGGCCTACTATGCTAATGAGTCCCTGCTGGGTGTGGCCAACTTGGGAGCCAGCCGGAACTCCGTTCATGTGTGTTCCTGCCCAAAAATAGCCCTGCTGACATATGAGCCGACAACTGGATTCAGCGTAAGTGTTTCTGCACACTTCCTTAACCCCTTTTCCTTTCGTTCCTGATCTCTAGGTTGTCGCTGAAAGCTTGTCGAATCCAGTGGTCGGTGGTTCCCAAAAGGTCTGTATTTTACGAACGGACGACGGAGAGGTTGTGTCGTGTTCGCCCGGGTGGGGGATTTTATGAGGCTGGGGAACCTTGACAGGCTACAGCCATTTCGGAAGCCCTTCTGCTTCGGGCCACCAACAGATACTCGCTCTACGTTGCGGAGCAAAAATCTGACCTGGTGAGCTCCTGGCATTAAAGTTGGGCGATTTGGCTGCGGCCTAAATTTTAGTTTGCTCTGGAGCCCTCCCTTCCTGAGCGAAGATAAAAAATGCACGAGCCGGAGGCTAAGAAAAACAGTGAGCCGGCTCGCACTGACTCGGCTTAGAGGGAACAGTGCTGCCAACTCCGCGTTGGGACGTTTCTGGAGAGAGCTGAGGAGCAGAGAGAGGGAGGGATGTGACATCATCGTGCCCGCTCTCCAAAGCTGCTGTTCTCTCCTCATCCCTGTCCCCTGGAGGGCAGCCGTAATTCTGGGAGATCTTTAGGCCCGAAGTTGCCGTGTTCCCCCTGGCCATCAGAAGGGACGGGAGAGGGGTTAAGGGTGGCCAGACCCAAGTTGAGAAACTCCTGGAGATCTGTGGGTGGAGCCTGGGGAGGACGGGGACCCCCCCTCCAAAACATCCCTTTTTCTCCAGGGGACCCGACCTCTGTAGTCTGGAGATGAGCTGTAATCCCACCTGGTGGGTGGCATCCCTATGACTGCTGGATGGAAGCGCATGGGCGAGGAGTCAACTCTCATTGGGTGCGTTCAGATGGGGCATTTGCAACGGTATAGGTGCTGGTTGGAATCGGTGTACTTACCGGCGTTCACACGGCGAACATCTGCCTTCCGTCCCTAACCGTTGCAAAGAGCTTTAAACCGTTGTATTCTGCCACTAGGTCCCCAAGTGGTGGTATCCTGAGTGCAACGGTTGGAATCGCTTTACCCCCCGTCTGATCGCTCTCCAACGTTGTAGAGTCACTTCCGTTCGGAAGCCCGAGGCTTCCGATTTTCGCCCACCATTTTTTTTTTAGGTTG